ACAGGTTCATGAAGAAGTATCATGGGGCTCTGAATCACTATGAATATTTCAGCAAAAAAATTTCATCACCCTTTGCAACTCAGTCCAACCAGTCACACCTTTCCTCAATTTGATCAGTTATTTATGACAAATATACTGGTATGGTATACCAGAGAAAGAAAGATGGTCAATTGAAGAAGAGACACCTGGCTGCATAGATTCAAGACAACCTTTCTTGTGGCTCGGGCTGATCTTTTTCAGCATTTCAAGGAGTATATGCATGTTGGTTTCTCTGTTTCCAAAGAGCTAGGATCAGCAGCTCACATTGTTCATCATTAGAGATTTGTAACTTCTAGGTCTCTCCCTACTGCTACCCCTATGGATACAATTCAGTTACATTTCAATTATGTTTTTGCTATGATTGTGGGGGCTATGACCTGTTGATGTAGCAAGTTGTTCATTTACAGCCAAGGTAACTTACCTATTCCCTAGGATCAGTAGTAGGTTTTCCCTGTCTCAAGGAGAATCAGAATAAACTAAGCACAATTTGTCTTGAAAAGAAAGTCTAGATACTTTAGTAAGGAACGATTATCATTTATCTACCAGCTACTAGAGCAGAGAGGTGCAATTATATCCTCCTTTGCTGTATGTATGCATATCGTCTATGGTCATTGTCTTATAGTTTATTGGGGTTGAGTTAGATTGTTGCAGGCACTATCAGGAAGAAACTTTGGGTGTGGAAAAGCATTAAAAAAAACAAGCAACCTGTCAGGCTTTCAAGATCTAGAATCTTTACTTTGATCTATCTAAAGATTTATTGTTCCCCAAACTAACTTTTTTTACTAGGGGGCCGACCATTATATTCTAGCAAGAATATAAGGGACCTTATAACCATTTTGGTAGAATTGTAAATAATTGTGTGTACAGGTTGCACCCGTTATGTACTCTTTAATATATCAACTTTTTTCTTCTAAAGAAATTAGTTCACTTAAGCGGGACTGTCAAAATGATGCAGTATATAATAAGAAAAGGAAAGAAATTGCCATCAAACATGATAAGCCTCTGGACCTCTATGACAATGGTTTCTGCAATGAGCAACTTTTTTGGCCTTAAAAGTTAAAGCTTCATGATATGCACAGGATAATTAGTTCTGAATTTAAAGAAAAACAAGCGGTCGGACCTTTCCGGCTGCAGCATCTTTCGCTGTTTCCGGTACAGACTCACCCTGCCATGAGTAAATTCTGAACTTGTAAAATCCCCAAAAAGAGGTAATTGTCCATGCAAAGAAAGCACATCAAATAAATTTGTAAAGTAAATACACATTTTACCAGACCTGTAGATGCCATATTAGAATATGGGCAAATACATCACTTCTTTGTGTTGCTCTTAGCAAATATCCCTCTACTAACCGCTGTAAATGAAGACAAGTTAAGATGTAGCCTAGAAAGAGTAACACATCATATACAAACTAGAAAAAATTCTCGCCAGCAACTCAGACAGGTTTTTCAACACAGAATGATCCAACCTTAAGCCTAATGAGCCAACATCCAACCAACAGGAGTTCACAAGACTTATCTAAACTGACTTCAGATCACACTGGACTGAAAAAGTTAATACCAATTAGGTGGGAGAAAAGCAAAAAAGATACAATAAGTGGCAATGCCTCCACATCAGTTCTCTCTGCACATGATAACCATGTGATACTACTGATTGATTTTTCTTTTTCAAATTAATGTACATCTTTGTTTGAAGTCAATGAAAAGTTTCAAGCCATGGCCCCAAAATGAAGCAAAATAATTGTGGAGAAAATATGAAAATGTAACTAGATATCAACATCTACGTTAAATAACTAACCGCTTCATCATATCTCAGAGCCTGCACTAGCTGAGGCATGAAGAAGGTCACACATTCAGGAGGATAGGATTCCAAAACCCTTAGGACATATGCCATGACACGTGGATGGCCCTTATATGCCGGAGTAAGAAACTCAAGAGCTTGTGTAATTGAACAAGCAGCCCAGTGTGGCAACTGTTGCAGAAGTGCCGAATTTTCCTCAACAGCCTTTGGGGTGACAAAATATGGCAATGCTTCTGGAATTGTACGAATGTCCAGTATGTGCGACTGAAAGGAAACAAACCAGTTGAGCTCATAAATATTATCAGAAGAAACAAAAGGAGGTAAAGAGAATTTCCTTCCTCAGAAAATATGACATCCACATGTACTCTTAAATGTGTAAACAAATTATTTCAACCCATGTGGTTCAATTAGATATTACTTTTTTTTTTTTGAAATAAGGTTCAATTAGATATTACTTAATTACCAAAATGTTCTTGATATGTAGAATCAGATCATAATTTTCATATTTGCGTCAATTGCAATTGAGCTTGAATTCCTTAGAGAGGCACTTCACTCCCTAGTTAGTCAAGTAAGACTTAGAAATTATCTATAAAAGATTCATGCTAAGAGTGGAATTGATTCAAACGTAAAAATTATGACTCTTACGTATTGAGAATATTCAAATAATTAAGAATGAACAGGATAGGAATTAAATTGAGTTAAATTAAACAGGCAAGTTATATGTTGCTTTCCTACTAAACTGTATCCACATCTCTTTCTCCAAGGCTATAACCATGATGTCAATTATAACTATCTTCCAATAAACCAAACAATTCTCTGAGAAGAGAAACATACATGAACCAGATGAGTTACTTCAGCCTTCAAAGAAGTATTAGTTGGGAACCTCGAAGCCAAGGATAATGCAATTCGAGGGTCCACGGAAAAGGCAGTTCTAGCATAATCGATCCATTTCTCTGAGCCGATCTTTAGCCGAAAAGAGGTACCTTCCCTGAATATCCGTGGGAATAAAAACAGCTAACGATTAATACCATACAAATGCTCCACACAATAGAAGGAAAAAAGTCAAAGTGAATAATTACTTTGAGTTTATTGGTTGAGCCCAAACTTCAAGCCTATCCGCCTCATACTGGCATAGCATTAGAAGTAGTTGTTTTCGTTTTTCTTTTCCCACAGAATAGCTATCCATCTGGCCCCAGACAGGGTGATATTGATCATTCTGTAAATAAAATGCACTTAAGGTCAAAGTATAAATAAAAAAAACTAACAAAAAGAAGATACTCCCTTTCGGAAGTTGAGGAATCAAGTGAAATGACTCAATTTGCATAATCCCCTTACAGCACCAGTCAACAAGTTCCCATTCTCACGTGACCGTCCTTTGGAATCAGGCTGAAGAGAGTCCACCCGATCATTTGAAAGATAGTGAACAAAAGCAGAGACTGATTGAGCCTCACTCTGGGCAAAATTCATATTGTTTGTGTCATACCATTCAGGTTCATGAGCAAACCAGCCCAAAGAAGCCCTGTAATACATCAAAGACAACCTTCTAACTGATATGTGCGAAAATTTAACTCTATAATTCAACTTTCATAATGTAAGGAACACTGCTGACCAACAGACTGATGTAAGCCTGCCAGTATTAAAATCTATATCCTCACCAGGACAGTGAAGAAGTACTAATTTGAAGCCATATCATGAACCGACTTTCTAAAGAAGAAATAAACAGAAAAAACTGAATGTTTAAAACTAAGGGAAAGGGGCTAGAAAAATCCGTGGTACCGAAGGAGATAATATACTGTGTAAAAGTTTTGCCAAAAGAGCTGCCAGATGGGCAAGAATCCCAAGTCTGGAAAACTAAGACATGAATTTCATAGAAAACATGCACTGAACATGTGATTAGAATAGAAAATAAAAAGTCAACTGGCTCACCGATAAACTCGATCTTCCAAGAGCTGAAGTCCTGCTTTGAAGTTCTGCAAATTGCCTTGTGACTGGCATGCACAAAACTTGAGGCCAAGAAGCATGAGAGTGAAAAAGGTTCCGGTAGCTGCAGGATGACTTGAAAAATTCCAAGGCAACCTTGTTGTTCCTTGTAACATCCGACCTAGGAGCAAGAGTTGCTCAACACTATTGTGTCGTACCACCTGCATAACCGGAAAAATCAAGTTATAAAATGTAGCACGCGAAATCCAGTTGATTCATAATTCTGTAGATATATGCATTCAAACTGCAGCACATATTACAGCAATTGATCAGAAACAGAAACATTAACTTTAAATGCAGACACACTTTCTACACTGTATTAGCCAATAACAGAGTTAAGTCAAATCCTTAACAATAACTCATTAGAAGAATGCAATTTTGGCAGCCTCTTCAGCAATAAAGTTTTAAACAAATTAAAAGGGGTCATTCTTTGGTAATCAGGTTAAGAAAGATAAAACACACTGCAGAAAAATCTAGGACAAAGTACATTATCCTTGACTAATCAAAAACCGAAAATATTGTAAAGGAATCTCTCCATCCTTAAGTAGGCCGAGAAAAAAGCCCCAGATCTGATATCGGGAACCGAAAGACTATAAATATAAGACAAGACTTCGATAATGATTCTCGGAGAGCATAGAAACCACCCCGTCACACTATGTTTGGATTGGGGAAAGTGGAGAAAAAGGAAAAGAAATGAAAGAATGCACACCTACCTTTCCTTGCATAAAAAATAGTAATTAATAGAGAAAAGGATGAGATGGTAAACATCCATTCCTTTCCCTTAAAAGTTCTAATTTTTCTGTTCCTCCAAATCGGGAGAAAATGAAGGAAAAGAGAAAGGAGTTAAAAATTTTAAAGATAAATTTTCAATTTTATCCTTGCTACCTAACTTGTCATTCTATTACTAGAAGGTAATGTTGACCATATTCTTACAACTAATCCTTTTATTTCCCTGATAAAGCTAAACCAAACAAAATACTATAACAATCTTTTCTTTACTTTTTGGATGTTTAACTATCCAAACAAGGAAAATATGCTTCCTTTCCTTTCCTATCTTTTGAAAATCATTTTTTCCCTTTCCTTTCCTCTCTAACTCTTTTCTAATGTTTACAAAACGGTGTTAGAACTCAAGAAATTCTTGACAACATGACAACTGACTTTGGGATTTCATCTTACTCCGGATGAGTGAATAAACTCACAAGGAAACAATAATATTTTTTATTTGAAATAAACACAAGGAAACAATAATATGCAATCAATAAGGTTAAAGGGGGAGAGAATGTAGCTAGGAAATGTAACTAAATTAATGTTAATCATGTTTATTTTTATATTTTCCTCTCATTCCACAATACTTTACCATCATGAATCAGAGGCTCCAAGAAATCTTAGTGAAGAACAAGATCTTATTTGCATAACTTACACAGGCAAAGACAATTTGTTTTTTGACCTGTTGGGAGAAAAAAGAAGGGGAGAAAAAGAAAGGGGTGGACAAAGATGGGAAAAATTGCTAAGCAAGCCTAATTTCATAAAACAAAATAACACCAAATATGTAAATACTGCCAAAAATATTGGATATAAAATGTGCAACCCGATTTACATGTGAACTCTTTCATTATCTAATAGAGACTAAGCAATTTTTTCAGAAGGCTTTTATTCTGAGCACAAATAGAGAATATAAGAATGCCGAATAGATAAAGATATATGAGAGAGGAAGAATGCAATGGAACAAATCCTGACCTCAAATCGGTCAATAAAAAATCCAAGCCATAATCTATGAGCAATTATTTGGTCAACAGGATTGATTTCAGGCTTGGCTTCTGGTTCCCCAGGAGCCAAATGAGGCCTTAACTTTGCAGCAGGTCCAGAATATCTAACATCAGATGCAAAAAGACCTCGTTTTGTATCAATTGTCCACAACCATGCATCAACTAACTCAGCAAGTACAAGGGAACCCAGTTGCGGTGCAGCAGAAAGAAGCCAAGTCCAAATGAAAACACCAGTTTCCATTGCATCAGGTGTGGAAATATAAGCTGGACACCAGCAAAGAAGACGTAGGAGTTGTGAGAAACCCTCAACATTTGATTTTGACTCAGAACCCTGAAAATTTTTTAAAAAAATCAAAGACTGAAGAGAAAATGGAGTTTTCTGCACCAAAAATATATGCATATGATGGTGAAAAGATGTACCAGATTGGAAAGAAGTAATGCAGTTGCCTGAGAACAAGTTTCCCGAAACAGTGACTTGTCAACTTCCCTACCTTTCTCAGCACTGTTAACAAATTGTTGGAGAAGATGGACAAACTTTGAAAGCAACATCTCATTAAATGAATCATCTTCAGTTTGTGGCTGTGGCGAAAATGCCCCTGATATCAACCTTTGAAGGCCACCACCAAAACCCATAGGCGTTGCGCTAGATTGGAGTCCACCAATACTATTATACAGCCTTCTCATGCCAGCAATCTCTCCAGCATAATTGCACTTAACTGTTGCACTGACTATACCAGTACTAAGCACCTCCAAATTGAACGCCTCCGACAATTTCAAATTTGCTCCTGATGCTGCAGCTGCAGCAGCCATGACAGCTGGAATATTTGCTGTCCGTATGCCTGTCCAACAATCATTTTTGCCAGTGCCAATCCTTATCTCAGATAAAAGAGAGACCACATCCGTTGTATGCTGTGCTTTCAGCCATGTGTTTGCTTTACAAAGCTTATCCTGAAGTATAAATACAGAATTAATGGCAAGCAATGAAAAAATACATCATGAAAGAGAATACAAGCAAGGCTCCAGAGAATAGCAATGGGCAGTAAATCAAGCTTCTACTGCAAGGGTAAAAATAACTGTATAAGCACAACTAGTATTAGCAGTCACTTAAGTGTCCTATTTGAGTTTCCTAAAGCAGCAATATCACCAAAAATGAAGTTTGATGTAGACTATCCACCTGTTTCCATATAGAGTGGGGATACAAGAATACAACTTCTATTGACATCTAGTGAAGGAATAATCATTAACCTGAAGCAAACCCTGGCTAGTGCATGGAGCATATGAAAGCGATATGATGATCCATTCCCGAACAACTTTTTGATACAAAGAACGAATAGAGGCTGCACAAGCAGGATCATTGATGACAGTGGAAGGTGTCTCGTTGCGAACTGAAAAAAGCAGGGAATCGAGACAACCTGAATTCCACAAGACCTGCATCCATGTTAAATCAATTTTTTCACAATGTATTGAACTTATTAAGAAGCTTAAAAGGAATAAATTCATAAACTGCAAAGAGTATCCACAAACCACCATTTAAAAAAAGAATGTGCCAACTCTACCTGAGGAAATCTGTCTCTAAGCTGAGTCAACAGGTTCACAGCAATATCCCGAATATGTTCCTCCCTCTGTGACATACTTTTTATGAGAAAACAAGCATGTGCAAAAAGAGCTGATTCTCTGTTCTCGGCTTCCTTGCCTGATTCAGATATTCGATCTTCCTGAACCAGATGAAAATAGCAAAAATATATATACCAAGATGAGAGAAGCAGGAAAGAGAATAAGAAAATCATCATAGACCATATTTGTACTGTTTACCAAGACATTTTATGATTTATGAGCTTACTCCTTTTCTATTAGACACAATTATGATTCATGAGTGTGATCATGATTCACATATGACCACAAACAAAGGAAAGAGAATTACCGAGCATACACAGTATGCTTCCAGAAATTGAAGGCAAAAAATGAATAGAGGTTACACTATGCCGTCTGCAGGAGCATGTTAATTTATCATTTCATGGTGCATTGATTTGATTCTGGGCACCCAACTTTCAGGAAATTAATCAATAAAACAACCAGCTCATAAACATCATCTTCAATGCAAGATGTCAGCCAGAAGAAGGTTCAATTAGAGATGAGGAATCATGTGAAAAGATTTACAGAGAGAAAAGCCACATTTCTTCAAAATTTTTCTGTACCATGAACACATACCAGCCACAACATTGCTGTTTCAAATGCCCTGTGCACCAGTGCTGTCAAACACTGAAACACAGCTGGCATAAGATTTGGCCCCCCTCAGGTATTCAAAGACGCAACTGAAGGCACTTCTAGAAGCAGTCACACTGGTTCCACCATTAAGGATCCCCCCATTGCTACTGAATCGTATAATTTCCAGAAAGGAGACAGCAAGAAGATAGGTCGCCTTCACCCCTAATAAAACAAAGAAGAGACAACCATGCAGATGAAAGGTTGCAAAATCACAACTGAGAAGGTATATTTTCATCAAACAAAAGCCAACTAATCATTTTGACTAACAAATGCCAACTAGAAAGCACATATTAAAATAAACAACATACATCAGATTCCACAGAAGACAGAAAGTTGATTTAACCTGAAATCGTGCTCATTGCGGAAACATCAACCCGCCCACCTAAAGCAGCAGAGAGAGCAGTTCTTTGGGTCACAGCTGCTTTCTCATTGCCACTCCCACGATGACTGCCAGGGTTGTGGAGGGCATTAAGTTCCAACTCATCTTCAAGCCATTTGACTGAGCTGACAACCTACACATACAAACATGGTTTAAGGAAATCTGCAGAAAACACTAAAATCAGAGAAATGAATATTACGAAAAAGATCACAACACATTCAGACAATAGGTAAAGCAAATCAAAAAAAAAAATCCCAAATAAGAAGGTAATGGTCTTCATATCAAACAGACTGTTTCTACACAGGAAACCAGTGTGACCATTCATACAATTAAACAAGACGCAAATTTTAAAAGGGGTACCCTCAAAAAGAAAATTCTAATTGAGGTGCTTTTGTAACATATCAAGACAAACAAACAAAAAACAATCAAAAGAGCATTACGTCATCAATCATAAGGATTAACTTACAAGGGGAGGTGTTCCTTGAGCAATGCGCTGAACAGCAGCAGACCATTGTGGATTCCACATATATGGTCCACCCACTGCTTGAAGGGCAATGGTACTCATGCTGCCCACACTGTTCAATGTAGTAGAAAGTGGCTTTGCCTGCAGTTGACCTTTCTGTATGGGAGGTGCTAAGCCAAAAAGAGCAACATAGAACCACAAGTTGCGAAATAACTTTAATATTGATGGCTCCACATCTATTGTAGATCAAAATCAGAGCATATTTCAGCAACAGCAGGAAGCAGAGGCCCCAAAAAATCAGCTCCACTCCTGCGACAGTTAGATCTTAGAAAAGAAACCACTGAAGAAGAAGAATGTTGTAAAAATATTTAAAATAAAGAAATTAGATATATTGCAATTTTTTTTTCGTTCAAAAGAAATCTGCTTTAAAAACAAGTCCATGAATTTTTAAGGTTAAAACAGTTGTAAGACAAGGAAACAGAAAAATGCGCAGAAAATATTTACCTTCCACTCTTGGACTCAGCAGCAAGACCTACATCTGAGCACAAAGATAGTAAACGATGACGATAGTCTGAACGCAACTTAGTACTCGTAAGACCCGTAGCAATCAAAAGAAATCCTGCAGGAAGAGTCTAGAATGTGATTGAACCAGTGAGCATCCATTTGATAGGATAAAGAGTATCGTTCACAAGTAATATTCAAATCATTCATACTTCAACACGCTCAGTAGTGGCTTCAGGTGCCAACGTTTTGCTTTCAGCAGATCCAACAGTTGATAGCTTACTCAAATAATTCCTCGTCATCAAAACAACTGTCTCACGGTATGACTTTTCAAACCCTAAACTTGCCATGCGAGATACAGCATCAAGAAGCTGCAGTTAATTGAGGGGGAGAGAAGGTTGAGAAACCATGCCATCAAATCTTGAAGGGAAATGTTAGCAAAAGAATCTTGAGGGAAGAATAGCACTTAAATGGCTCGTTAGAAGGCAGTAAATAGAAAAAGAGCAGAGTAACTACAAAATCAGTAGATACATCTATGAAGACAAAGTTCCATACTCGGAGTCGCAATAAACTAGGAGTCGAAGCGTCACCCTCTTCCAAGCTTTCAATAAAAAGTGGCAAAATCATGTCCACCATTTCAGGCTTCTTCACAGAAACATTCAGGTCAGCTAGCAGACGTATTACGTTAAGCTGCACAGCAGGAGCAGCCTGCTTCTCTTTATCCACCTGAAATAAAAGGTTGCATGAGCACAAAAAGAATAACTAGATTATCCAATTAACAGGAAACTCACTGAAAATGCTTATATTTTTTTTTTTAAATAAAAAGAACAAAAAGTATTATTCACAACAGTACCACGGGGGTACCACCCATATACAAAATTTTACAGATTAGTCAATATATCTATAAGCATTCGCTGAAAATGATTATATTCTATTTTTTTGAAATAGAAAATGATTATATTCTATAAAAGGTTACTGGCAAATAACTGGGACAGTTAAATTATGGATTGTCCATAAAGTAAAATGGAAAAATAAACTGTATCTAGCTAATGTTACTTGACCAACCTGCTCCTCATAATCATTTCTTTCCCGGATACTCGTAGCTAACCCCATAATAAATGTGTCTACGGGAGCACGGTCCTTTGTCCAGCAAGATTCAATAATCTGACAACTTGTCTTCAATACAGTTTCAAACATAGCTCCCTGACTGCTGGACCAGGTATCAGCCTGTTACATTCATATTGTGCATTTATAAAAACCACATGAAGGAAAACCGTTTAAGTTGCACAGCTAAGTCTAATCAAACTGAAAAGCAGAGAAAGTACCTGTGCACATGCAGTTAGCACAAGGGGTTTGAGACGAATGAGCAAAACACGGAGTGGCTGACCTCCTCTAGTGGTTGCAATTTGAGCAATCCCAGTAAGTAGAGAACTGAACAGCTCTTCACATACCCTCAACTTTCGCCACACAGATAATAGACATGCTTCTGCAGCATCTAGCAACAAAGCAAGAGTCTCCAGTACCAACCTCTTTGAGGTTTTCCCATCCGTTTCAAGTGACACAAGACTCTTAATTTTCATCCTAGATGCTGCCTGATACACTGATAGTTTTGCATTAACTCTGGCTTTCAGAAGCAGCCCTTGCTCACTCCAATCCCGCTTCCTTATCTGCTCAGTGCCCAAATAATCCCATGTTTATTTCTAGGTTCAATCTTTAATGTATAATAATATGTGAGAACATCAAATGAAAAAACAAATCACCAGGATTAACTTTTTTTGCCCGTAACTTTTTTAAATCATCATGTTAAGTTAATTTCTCTGTCTCCCAACTGAATACAGTATGCATATGCATTCCAAACTTTAACTTACCTTCAGAAATGCAGACATGGATTGGAGCTGCCTCTTCGCAGTGAACCTTACCTGCTCCAACAGCTTCGGGTCAATCTGCACTTTATCCAAAATGTGGGCTATCAACTTAAATGCGATCTCCTGCTTTTCTAAGCTCTCCACACTCTCTTCCTCAAATGAAGCAACTTGTTGCCTAAACAGTGCGCCAGAAGCTCCACTTCCATCACTGAGTCCCGGAGTCAATTGGTCCATTCCACTCTTCCCGAGTATGCTGCCCCCATTCAATACCATGGACATGGACCCCTTGGACGACGCGCTCGACAAATGGCTCGCAGCCTCATTGCCCGGGCTCGAACCTTCATTGCCCGGGGGGAAATGGTTGACGCTCCAAGGCGAACTCTGTGATGACGACGTTTCGGAGCTTATCGAGATCTGCGGTTGTTGGGGTTGTTTCCTCGGCGAGGACGCAACAGGGATCGCTGTGAACTGGTCAAGAAGAATCGTTATCAGTTTATCCGCATCGGACGGCAAAAGTGGCGGGAAATTCTGTGATAAAGCCAACAAAAAATCCCTAGAAATTGTCAAATCCCCGCAATTGCTCCCATTGTTAATCGCAACAAGCACCACCTCACCCATGAACCCGGCGATCTCGTCAGCGAAATCAGGTGACGATCGGCAGATTTCGACACATACATCAAGAAATCGGTGAAGAAGGAGGTAATGGAGTCGACGGAGAACGACTGAGCCAGAAGAGTACGAAATGATGCCGGAACGCGCGAGACTC